ATTCAACATAACCTTTACTAAAATCCTCCATCCAGCCCAAATCCATTAAACTTAAACCCATCCAGCCCAATCCATTATATTTTAACCTACCCAACCCAAACCCTAATTATAAATACCCTCATTCTCCAAGGCATATGATTATCCGTCGAGCCCTCTATTATATTCCAGATTATTCTATGCCTTTACCCCCTTCTTTCGCTTTCAACACTTCGTCGTTCAACCACACCTTCGTTTCGCATTCACTCTTCCTAATCAATTCATTATATTGTTCCACCCACACATCTCCTCTAACACACCACTCTAATGCCCTTCGTTTTCGATTTATTGTTCAGACAAATGATTGTGTGCATTGCTTGCATATCTAGATCCTTAACGGAGCTTGAACGACCGCCGTGACCATCGACCGGAGTCCTTCACTCTGTATTTCCGTTTTGCACCGACGGACGCCAGCTTTGTTGGTATATTTTCGAGCTTCTTTTCAGTAGATCTGTAATATATAATCTATATACTCCCCCATCCCTAAATTTTTACATCTTTGGTCATGACTAATCTGAAACATAGAGTTTCTGTACTTTATTCATCTCGTGGTTAATGACTAATCTCTGATTATTTTTCTGAAAATATACGCAAAAACTGTTGATCTAAAGACTAAACACTCTAGATCTAGCATTTTTCGGTACAAATCTTTATTAATGTGAGACTTTGTATTTATATTTATATATATTTTATTTCAAATTATACGATTATCCCAATAAAATACATGAAATATGGTTGTATATTTATCACAAATAGATCTGTCTTGATACATGAAATATGGTTCGGATCTATCTTAATATAAGATACTTATGCTTAATATGAGATATTTGACATATATTTATCGATATATTTATTTTTACATATTTGTATATTGGTTTTAATACTTATTCAATACTGGCTTCAGTCTATAATTTTTTAAAACCAAGCTGTCATAGTTATATAAGACACTATGATTATACTGATTTGGATCAACATCTGGTTTTCATAAATCGTCTGCCATACATACAGTCATACTTGACTTGTATATACCTACATCAATCCTTATTATTGTCAGTAGCACTTAATAATAAGGAATTTAACCAACTTGGCTAAGTTCAACACTCATTTTTTAAACTAATCTATCATACATCTTTAATACTTGCTTTGAATACTGCACTTTTAAATTAAGGTGTGACACTGATTTTTATATCAAGTAGCTTAGTATATATAATTTAAAACTGCTTTCAAGCTATATTACTTTTTAAAACAGAGTTGTCATTTACTTCCTTATATAAAACTCTTCGATTAAAATATTTTGGATAAATTAAACACTTACTTTTTAGAAGGCATATCCTTTGTTGAAAGCAATAGTACTTTACCAAGGTCTTGATATATTAGGTTAATATCAAATATTCTCAACTAATATAAGATGTACATATTATGCATGTACTCCGTATATTTTTTGAAAAGTAATCATCTATTCTTTGAAAACAGTTTTGATTTTATTAAAATATTTGTTGCCAAGTTGCTTGCTCAGTACTTCATTCCCTTTCAGTTTTTAAATATTGTTGTTGCAGTGTAGTTGACATCCATACTAATTTAGAAAATAATTAATTTGATTTTTTAAATATTGTCCCATTAGGTTAAGTTTTGGCAAAAATAAAAACAAACTGTTTTTCATTTTCAATTTCTCTTCGTGCTGCAATATTCCATTACTACTTATTCTCCCGCACGTATATCACATGTGTGATATAAATACAAATATATTTTAACATAATATTATCTTTTATATTGCAGGTGTAATTCACCAAGATTAATTTCACATGCGGTTGCCCTGAAAATGAAAAAAAAGAGCATCAAAACATTTTTTATTTAACGTCCAAGGAGAAAATCGTTTCCAAAACAAACATAGTGCATACCTCTTTAATTTTTATCATGAAGAACCATCTCCAAAGTGCTTCCTCCTCTGGCATGGGCAGCCAATTCGTAGACCCGTACTACTCGAACTTGCACTGCTCCGGTCGTCTTTGTGTGGTCAATCTCGCTAATGTTCGACCATAGTCCATTTGTATTTGTGCTCTCAGCCATAGTTGCTCTCTAACCTAGCCAAATAACTTGATGATATGGTGAAGTGTGTTCTGATGTGGTCATGTGGATTGTTGTGAGAGTCCCCTATTTATAGTAGAAGATGGTTGTAGTAAGGCTTGTATTGCGTTGGTAGCCCAAATGTTATTAGACTGCTGAGATATCTGTTGGATAAAAGGTTAATAGAGTGCTGAGACAGATCTCATTTAATGAGTTTCCCATTTCCGAAACAATACCAACTACCCAATTCATAATTGAGAAAGTCTAGTTGTACACACTTTAATACACACACTATACACACTATATAACCCTCTTTTTTTACCTTTCACTTTTACCATTTTTCTCTCCCTCCCCTTCTCGTACGATCCTCCGCCCCATTCTTCTCCCCTCCCCATTCTTCTCTTCTCACTGGTTTTTTCTTTCTTTCTTCTGAAACCTATGAAACTCCCTTCCTCCAAACCCACTCCCTATTTTTATAGAAACCCTTCCACCTCCTGTTTATAGAAACCCTTTATCATTTGTTTTTCTGTTTTTCAACCAGAGACTGAAGCTCTGTTTTCGCCGCTATCAAGGACGAAAATCTATGACCGTTCAACCACCGCCTAAGGTACTCTCTTCTTTTGCTCTTTTGTGAATTAAGTGTTAATTTGTATGTGAAGTGCATGGGTTACGGATTGTCCTTTATTTTTAATTCTAATTTCATGCCTAATTTATATATGTAAATTTGTTAATTCAACTATTTACTTTAATTTTTTAATCTTTGTGGTCGATTATTGTGGTTATAGTCTAAGAGTTTCTTTATATTTTCTTACTCGTGAAGTGTTTGCTAAAAGGTGTCATTGAATGTTTGTTCAATATTAGAAGCATCAAATACTCAAAATTCGAATGGTTTAATATTCTTTAATTTTTACTTTGGTGTTGTATTGTTTTTTATGTTTAATGAAATTTCTCAAAAAAATTAGTTGAATGGGGAATAGTATACTAGCAGTGCTTTTGTCATACTAAATCCATTCTGCAAGGAAAACTTTAGTTAATTGTCTTATTCACTTCATGTTTTTGTTGCTTTTATGATTATATTTATTTTTCCTTTTGTATATCTTATTTATCTTAGTATGATGTTGAGTGTTTGATTGTTTTGTTTCATTATTATGGATTGATGATGTTAATTCTTGAAATTTAAGTCCAACTCTTCTATTTCCTTTTAATGCACCTAACATGTATGTTTAAATGTTTCAATCAAATTTTAGTGAGTGTTTCTTGGAGTTGCAATTGTAGGTGTATTTGTTTTATTTCGTTTGTCAGGATCAAACAACATCTAGTGTTCAATGAATTTCTGAGATAAACTTGTTTTTGGGTTATTTTGTAAACTGTAATGTATGGTTGTAGATACAATTTAATTGAGATAAAATGGGAGAATATGGGAAAAGAGAAGGTTAGAACTCTTCTATATAAGCCACTATTTGGTTGGAATATTTTGAAGAGGATATGATGGAGGAATGGTCTTTTTTTCTTTGCAAATTTAATGGGAAGCTAAGCTCCAAAAAGTAGAAATGGTGATGAAAGATCAAAACCAATCAACAAAATAAGATAATTTTGTAGTTTAATTGGTGGTGTATGTTTAAATCTAAGACTATTATATACATGGATGAATTCATGTAAATGTGTTAACTGAATGACTGATGGGTACATTTTAAAGAGAGAGTAATCTTGTAATCTTGTATAGTATATATATATGTGTGTGTGTGTGTGCACTTATATAACTATTTGGTACATGTGACAGATTATGGATGATTCGTATGGCAATTTAATTGTGGATTGGAACATGATGCATGATTTCGTATGGCAATTTCCTTCACATGAGGAGAACCATGCCACCAAAAAACACAGATGCCCCTGAAAATATGTCACAAGGAGGGAAACTTTTAAAAGAAGAAACAATGATGAGGTACAAAAATCTGTCAACAAAAGAAGATTATCTTCTAATGCAAAGGGTGGTTTATATTTGGATTTTGAAGTGGATGATCTTGTAATAGTGGTAGCACAAAATTATTATTGATGGAGATTCATCAATTTATGGCATTGTTGTGAATGCACAAAATTACTTTATTAATGAATATGTACTTAGATGTTTTATCTAAAATGTCCACACGAATTGCTTGGGTGTGGTTATGAATCATCTTTGTTAAAGTTTTTATTGTTTATGCGTGATCGAAGCTGTCTGTGAATTCATTTATTTTGTCTATGCATAGTCGAATTAATGTCTATGTCTTTGTTTAGATTGTATGAGCATTGTTAAAGCATTGTTTGTGTCTTCGTTTATTTTGTCTGTGAGAAGAAAACAGCTGATGTCTTGTGTTCATTTATATTATATGTGCGTAGTGGGAGCATCATCAATGTCTTCATTTATACTCAATAAATGAGTATAAGATTAACAATTTAGTTTTAAATCAACTTACAACATGTAATAATTAATATGACACTTTCAATTCCTTTGACAACATTCAACGTTACCAGAACAGGCTAACATCAGTGGAAGATGTTTCAAAACAAGGTTCTTTATCTCATACAACTATTTTACAATCATATACAAGAGCCTAACACCATACAAATAAGTTTACTAGCATTTAACACCAAAATATAAATGTGAGAATAAAAATTAGCATTAGATGAAAAATGAGAGTAAACTAATAATTCAATAAAATATGTTTGTTACTTTAATTAGATGAAAAATGAGAGTAAACTAATAATTCAATAAAATATGTTTGTTACTTTAATAACCTTATCCAAATTATAAATACAATCGGATATTATAGATGTAATTATATCTAATTTAACGAACATCCAAATGAACATCCAAACAAACACACAAACAATTTTTGTTTGCATACAGACAAAACAAACGACACACAAACAATGTTCTAACCACGCACAAACAATATAAACGAAGACATAACAATGCTTCGACTACAAACAAACAATAAGTGCAATCTTGAGGAAGGTATTGTTGTTCCATTCAGCTGGTAAGTTCCTTCACATTTTTTGAGATATCTTCAAAGGAATTTTGGTGATTCATATGCATCGACTTTGTTGTGAGTTCCATAGAAAACAATGATTATTTCTGGTTGATTCTCGCCTTTAATGTAGAAGAGTGCATGTCTCATCCGTGCCACCCGCACAAAACCTAACATACAAATTAACTGAAATAATGAGAGTCATGTTCCATTCCAAACATGACTGCAATTTCTAATTACTAATGACTATGAAAATATATCCATTTATAAATAAGCAATAAAAAAGTGCTTCAAGCAAAAACTAGTAGACCAAAAAATCAACCTCACAAATAATTCATATAAACAAACTTAAAACCACTTACAAACATAAAAAAAAAGGTTTACTGGACAAAGTAGGGTCTAAACAAACCTTTAGTACCTAAACATGTAAGACTGTCTTCTAGGACCTAAACATTCATTTCGATAAGTTGAAATAAAAAATTGACTCACTACACTGCACCTCATATAATTGCTAGAAGTGAATCACCAAAGTATGCTAAAAATGTTCTTCACATGAAAAACATGAAATAAGTACAATGAATATAAAAAGCAATTTACTAATGCCCTCTTTCCCAAAATCTTAAATATGAACAAGAAGTTCATTGAATCATTTAAACAAATAATAAAAAAAAAACAGAATAGTTTTGACTATAATTTCAATAATTAACCTCACTAACCTATATCAATGAAAAAAAATAGTCAAAAATTCAACATGATAACATATACTCCACATAATTTACTTAAATAGCAAAAACATACTAATCAAATGAAATAGTCGATAACAAAATACTCTGTGCATCATTATTTAAGTTGGGAAACAAGAAAATTAGAATCTCGAACTAATTAGCAAAAAAGGAAAGTAAAAGTCTTGAATTTAAACAAAAAAACTCATTGAGTCATTTCAACAAACATGTTATAAGCATAAATGTGAAATAGAGTTATTGAATTAAAACTTCAATAACTAACACTACGTTCTCTAACAATAATACAAATTGCTCAACTAATAAGCCTTATACAATACAAAATATACAAAAAAATCAGAAATTTTAAATAAATGTAACCCTAAATGCACAAAGAAAACTCGAATTAAATTATTACGGAGTACTTCAATATTATGGGTTGTTGATCGAGCTTCTTGTTTGACGGTTTGACCTACGAAAATCCAATGTCCCTTTATTTGTGTTGCTGCAAGAAGAAATAAAAGAAGAAGAATAAAGTGAAAGGGGGTGAAAATAAAAAGAGAAACGGAGAGAATCGGGCAGGGAGGTCGCAGAAGAAAGAAAAGAAGTAAGGGTGAAGAGAGAGAAGGGGTAAAAGAAAGAAAGGGAAAGGGGGTAATTTTTTTTTAGGTATATATAGTGGGTATAGATGTGTGTACTAATGTGTGTACAAAGAGCAAATTTCTTCATAATTTCAATTTGTGATCTATATTTGGAAAATCAGTCAAACCGAAGTATTGCTTCTTGTGGTGGTTGTGTAAAGATGCTCTTTCATCAGTTGCATTTAATGGATCATTACTATTTTTGTTATCAAATAAAGCAAATATTCTGTCAAAAATATTTTTTTGCTATAAGTTACATATTCGGCCATACTGCAATCCCCAATGCAAATCTGCTTTTAAGATTTCGAATACAATATATGACAGTGCATTTAATGACCTCACCCAACTTTCTTGGCCCCACTTTGAACCCGTTCATTATCTTTGACCCGACCCATTTTTGCCTTGGACTTTAGGCGGGAAAACTGTCTGGTTTTCCACCTCTTTTTATATAGAGGTAGATTTTGGGAAGAAGGCCTCTTTGAAGTGGTTGGTCCCCCACTACAACTGTATTCCTTTATTTGCTTAATAAAATTCTGGTAAATGTCCCCGGCATTTACCCCACCGATGGGTGGTTGACCTTCCGGGGTAAAAAAAAAAATACGATGATATCTAACATGGAATGATTGTTGGGTCGTATCTTTTTGTGGAGTAATATTGTAAAATTTATTTATTCTCCCCCAACTTTTGCTTTATTTGGCCATTGAATTGTTATAAACTTCCACACTATTGTCATGATGTGTGTAATATGACTGTCACGTTTGAGTTGATATCTCACATTGCATTCCCATTGGGTAAATGTAAGTAGGTAACCAAAATTAGGATTAATTGAAAAGAGAAATCCCTAAATAGGAGTACAAACGTGTTGAAATTTCAAAATAGGACTATCATGTTTTTATTAATTTTTTGAATAACAGTAAATTTCTGCCAAATTTGGCATTACTAGGCTTTAAACATGACACTTTTTCCAAACTTGGCAGATTAATTACTCCTATTTAGGGAATAAAAAACATGATATATAGTCCTAAGGTTGGAGTCAAGCACAAAAGGTTGTTCGTTGTCAAGGAGATCCGATTTTGGCTAGCTCTAGTGTCTGGAAAAAACCTCTTTTAGGGAGGCTCAAATTGAATATTGATGCAGCGGTTTGGGCTGGTTTCCCCGGGATGAGTTCGGGGAGTTTGTGGCTGGTGTTTCAAAGGTTTGGATGGGTCAGTTATCACCCTTTGTGGCAGAACTCGTTGGAATAAGAGAGGCCCTAAGTTGGGCAAAAGGTTGTGGATGGGAGGTGGTTGATGTTGAGTCAGACGCTTGGAGGGCTATTTCTGAAATTCGGAATGGTGTAAGTGTCTCTACAGCAGGTGTTTTAGCGGGGACATCGGGAGCTTTAGAATTGGTTCAAGGAAATTTCCTTTTCTCATATTAGGCGATCAACGAACAAGGCGACTCATGGTATTGCCCAAGTCGTATGTTCCTTGTCCGGTTGCACTTCTTGGAGTGGTTTTCCTCCGAATTTTATTATACATGTACTGAGCAATGATGCGATTAATGATAATTAATTCCAGTTCTCGAAAAAAAACATGATAGTCCTACTTTGAAATTTCAATACGTTTTTACTCCTATTTAGACCAATTTCTGTTAATTGAACAAAAAGTTGTCATTCCAAATCCCACTTAACTACAAACCGTCGATATAATCATACACAGATGAACTGACAAAAACTAACAAAAATCTATAACATTTGATCAGAAAAACTAGGGTTGGGCATATCGGTTTTCGGTTCGGTTTTTGTCGGTTTCGGTTCGGTTTGAAACGTGTTGGGAGAATTATTACCAAACGAAAATCATACTATTTTTCAGTTTGGCTTGGTTCGATTTAGTTCGGTTTGGTTCGGTTTGGATTTGTTATTTTTTAATAAAATATGAAGGATTTTTTGAATTTCTTTAGTTTGGTTCGGTTTTGTTCGGTTTTTATCGGTTTCGGTTCGGTTTAATACGGTTTGGAAGAAATACTACCAAACTCAAACCAAATTGCATATGGTCCGGTATCGGTTTTGAACTTAAATTACCACAACACTACGTTGTAGTAATGAATAGTCATATTTATGAAAATAAGTTTTATTTTAGTAATATTCTTGTAAAAAATCCAAATTATATACATGCATTAGCAACTTAGCAAGTAAATATTTTCACAGAGAATTTGCACAAGTCATATGGGGCATTTACCTCATCACGTAACATGCTTAATAAAAGTTAGTTATCACTAATAAATAGTAAAACATTATCTCGGCTAATATAACTATATATGTAGATATTTTTTAAGATTAAAACAACACTTGTTTATAAAATGTGACTTTTAAGCATAATGATCGACTATATTGGTGATTTTAACCATAGTAACTTATTTTCAATTTTTACAATATTATAGTAATTTGTAGTCATATTTTTATAAATAAGTTTTTTTCAGTAATATTTTTTCAAAATAAATATCTTTATATCAAATATAAATAATAAATAAATACTCCCTCCGTCCCAATTTGTTTTGCAAAGTCAACAATTTTTAGTCAATCAATAATAAAAGTCAACCCTCCGTATAGATAATTAATTCAGTTTTTAATAATTAAAATTTACATATTCATAAACTACATTAAAATCTCTTCAAAGTTGTAAACTCCAAATTAGAACATAATAAAAAATTGATATCCAAATTATGTGAACAAAACGAGACTGTTTGACTAAGAAAAGTCAAATTTGCATCTCTTTTTGGGACGGAGGTAGTAATAAAGAGACACATAAGATTATACTTTATGATTGGAAGGGGAGAAATCATTCACAAAGTAAAATTCTAAATTCTAACCAGTCCAAACTAAAAACTAGATGAGAGAGCAAATAGGGGGTTAGTGTCTTTCTACTGCACTACAACACACAACCAATATTCCGCCATAAAACTATGGTTATGTTTGGCACAAATAGCTGAAAAGATATTTAGCTTTTAGTGACTTAAAAGATATTTTAAAAAAGTGGTAGATGTTTGATAAAAAGCTTACTGTTTGATTTAATTTTAATTTATTTGATATACAAGCTGTTGTGACTACTTAATACTAGAAATTGCAAACTTTTAACAAATGATACTTGATGTAATTTCTCAAAAAAAAAGTTTTTTTTTGTTTTATAAAAAAAACTCTTAAGAATTGCCGTGCACATATGACTAGAAGTTTTAGAGACTATTTGAATAATATAAAAGTTAGAAGGTGGTGACTTATGCCTACTAAACATGCAAATAAGAATATAGTAAGACTATGTTTGGCGGACATAAGTCTCTAACTTCTGGCTTTTGTACTATTTAAAAAGTCTCTAAAAGCTGCTAATTGTTTGTTTGGCATGCCGAATTTTAAGAGCTTTTCAAAAAATAAAAGATCTTTTTTGAGATGCTACAGGTAGTGGCATATGAGAAAAGTCTGTGACTTTTAGCTTTAATTAATCCTAACAGCTTGTATACCAAACAGAACTAAATCAAACAGTCAGCTTTTTACCAAATAGCTACCACCTTTTACTTTTAAGATCTTTTCAGTCACTAAAAGCTATCAGTTACTAAAAAGTTCACAAAAAGATCTTTTCAGCTAATTGTGCCAAACATAGTCTTAGTCAAACATGCAAAAGTTTTAGAGAGGGACTTTCTACACATATAGTAAGTCAAATAAGAATACACTAGATATCAAATATATTTATGTCCTACACTTCCAACTCTTCTTTATCTATGTAATTCTAAGTTAAAGTGATTTCCAATTAATTTGACTTTAACAAATGAATCAACCTTGCTGGCTCGCTCATGCATGTATTTTTTTTTCTATGTTTTCTTTAGGTTTACAGGCCCATTTTTCTGTACAGATTTTTTAATTTAATACATAGACGATTTGAGAACTCTGATGTAAACTTGAAGTAAGCATAGAAAAAGACATGCATGGGTTTACTTGAGTCAAAACTGTGATAATCAGAGGCTCGGGACACAATTTAAGTTAGCAGTCCGCGTTTACAAATATTTGTTAGTAAGAAATAATATTATATAGAGAGAAATTTGTTACAACTAAGTATACTGAAAATGACTTAAACATTACAAGAGTGTAATGTTGATGACTTGTTTATAGTTAAATAATGGTAATTGGACTTGGCCAAATTTGTGAACTAACAATAACCTTAATGGGCTAGCTGGCCTATACGCAATTAAATATTTGGGCCAATTACTCGCTAGTTGGGTCGTGTCCCAAGCCCAGCCAAACCCATTCTCAGGTCGACCTAGCCGTTTTGTTGTTTGATCTAATCCTTTACCCCAATAATATGTATTATGTTTGTACAAGCACCAATTGAAATACACTCCCCCTCTTATTTATGAACTAGTAAAACATAATTTAATAGAGAATCCAGGATAGGTTGGAAATTAGATTGGTTTAAGATATCAACGGCCTTTTACACATGTAATATATGTGCATGTAAATGCATCAATTGAAACAAACAAGATAGTATAGTCTACCCCTTATTTAAGATTAATAAAATGAAAATTGATAATCATAGTTGGGATAACAGTGTCTCTAACTGAACATTAATAATGTTAATTATTCAACTTGTTTATTTGATTGAAGATATATAAGTAATAGACCTTTTTTTAGAATTATAACATGATTTGAATTTCACTATTGTGTAGAGTTTTGATCAATGAAGTTTGAAACAAGCTCATTACCTACCACTCTAACAATAAACATGTCACTAGTTGACTCTACCTAAATGTAGTGGATAAAAATGGATTTCCTGTTGATGCCATTCTGTTAGAGGTTAATGTTGATGTGAAGGTTTGGCAATAGAACCTGGATTTGAGATAAAAGCTAGAACTGGAGCAGCGGAAGTAAAGTCAAGGGTTTGACATCACTATGTGAGAGAGTTGGACAATGAAAAGCTTAATTAAAGCAAGGTGAAACATTGCAAATCACTATTTGTTGAGTGATTCAA